AAATCCAGACCTGAGGAGCCCAAAAGTGACGACAGTTACAGAAATCCGATGACCCGCTCGGATTAGTAACATGATCTGCGGGCCCCATAGGGAGGGGGCTCCCGCCTGAGACTTCCTCACAATTCACTCACAGACGAGGTTCCCGCCTGATACGTCCTCCATATTCAGGCCTCAAGTCAGCGAGTAGTGATGATGATGATGATGATGATGATGATGATGATGATGATGATGATGATCGTTCGATGCCGATGATGGTGAGTGACCGTGGGATGGTGATGGTGATGCTAATGGTGATGATGATGATGAGTGGGGAGTGATGGTGATGGTGATGATGATGCGGAGGAGGAAGCAAAGAGGAGCAGAGGAGAGGGAGGAGGACGAGAGATCCTGCGCGGAGGGTGTGCAGAGAAAACAAGAACCCCACTTAGGATGTGGGGAAAACATGGTGATACAAGTGAGGCGAGACTCGCTCTTGTCTGCACGCCCGCGGACACAGAAACGCCGGCTGTACACACGCTGCGGCATGCGCGATGCGGCGCCCAGAGTGGCGGCGCCACCCGGGGGGCATCCCTCGCGGCGGCCTGACAAAAGGCAACGGAATAGGAACCAGCTGCTCGCGAAGCCCACTGGGGGACGAAGGGCGCTAGCACTGGTGTGCCGCGCGTTGAACAGCAGGGAGACCCTGGAGGCGCCCCGAAGGAAGTGGCGGTCGGAGAGCCTGCCGGAGGCCGTCCCAAGCAGTTTCTGCGCGGTGGAACCTGTCAAGCAGAGACGCTGGCTGTTCCTGGATGTGCCAGAGATTTGGCAAGGGGCCCTGGGACACACAAGTAAATACACGCAAATTAAAAGACCCCCCATCTTTTCCCATATCTTCTGGGTTTTTGTATTCCCCCCCACTTCCCATACTTGCCCATATTTTCCTGGGAGTCGACGACTACTTGTGACTTGTGTCTGTGTTTCTTCCCCTCCTGAGTTTGGCAAGGTGGTTGGCCCGCTGCTGCAGCGCGTCGATGCTGGCGATGAGGGCCGTGCCACGGTCGCCCTCTGGGTGCCGGCCGGCCGCCGACGGGTGCTGCGCAAGGCCTTGCCTGCGGTCTGCTCGCCGGGCCCCGCCGCGCCAAGCCCTTTTTTCCAACGGCGGCCGCTGCCGCGTCGCTGCTCCCCGTGCCCTACTTGGGGGGGAGGAGGAGCTGGCCCGCTGGTGACCCAGACCCCATTCGAGCTATGAAAAATCACGACGGGAAGTTTTTCATGATTTTTAGCCTCTGGGGTCAAAAAACGACTCAGGACGAAAAACCGGCCCGGGGGAATGGGTCCAGACCGCTGGGGGCCGACGTCATGAAAATTTCATGTCGGGGGTCTGGGGTGGGGGACTGGTGGTGACGGCCAGATCGTGTCGACCGTGGGCGGTTTGCGCCTCGCCGCCGGAGAATCTTGGCTGGTTCACGTCGCGCTGATCATCGCGATCGCTGCGGTCGTGTCTACTGTGACTCTGGGAGGGGGGACATCGCTACCTTCGTTTTCGCTGCGGGGGGCGCCAAGCCCCAGCTGGCATCGCTACTCGCAGTCGAAGTCGCCAAGCAGGCCCACCCAGGGATCCTCCAGGTGATCGAAATAGTCAATCATTGGTGGACCACCGAGGTAAGCGGGGCCGCTTTGTTGGCCTGGTGATTCATGGCCGCCTTGGCCAGTGGCGAAAGAGTCGGGCTTCATCTTTCTGAGTTCAACCCTCGAGTAACCCGCTCCTTGTCTGGCAAGGGGATGCGTCTAGCGACGCCGGCCACAAACAGCGACTGCCACGCTGCGAACTGCGGCCGCGAACTTACGTCATCATTTAGCAGCGTCGATGAGGCCGCGCGGCACGCTGTGCAGGCGCGCGCCGGCCGCGGCAAGTTCCTCTGCGCGGCGGTTGAAGCCTCCGCAATCGGCGCGATACGCCCCTCGCTGATGACTTGCTCACCCAAGTGGCATTCTACCTTCTGGACTTGAACATGCCTGGTCGGGCCCAAGGCCTAGGGGGCGGCACGATGGATCATTCGTAAAAGGTCGGCCTGGGCACCCGCGCGCGGCGGCGGTTCACCGCTGAGGAGGTCCTCGAAACGACAGCTCGGCTGTCAGAGACAATGCAAGCGGGCCGTCCAGCCGCGGCGACGAGACGACGCGCGGCCAGAGTCTCGGGCGCTAGACCGCGCACGCGAGCAGAATGCTTGAGCCAAGGATCTGGGCCATGGTACACTCCGACAACCAGCCCTGGCGAGGAGCGGGGGAGCCTGGCGCGAACGGGCCCCGTCGGTGGCACAGCGCGCCTGCTGGGCCGCCGCGTCGTCGGCGCACTCCTCGCAAGCGTCGTCGTCGGGGTCGCGCGGCGCCGGCCGCTGAATGGGCCGCGGAAGCTCGTCCTCGGCAATGGCGACCTGGAGATCAGAGAGCCGGGGACATCCCGCAAGATGGCGGCGGCGTCTCGCGCGCGGCGAAGGTCTCGCCCTTATTGTTCGGTGCTCAATGTTTTCAGAGCGGCCCTGTCGGTTCCCCACCGCGGGCGTTTCCAGACGGAGCGCCCCTGGATTTCTCCCACTCGGCTGCGCCATCGGCATTAAAGAAATGGCTCGGCAGAGATGGCGGCCGCGATTTCCCCCCGCTGGGCGCGGCCACCCCCGCGGAAGCAGTCGCAGCGCAGCCCGAGCTGCCGCGCGGCGCAGACGGCCTCGCCGCTCACTCGGGGCAACCGCGCGCCGGCAAAGTGGCCGGGGCCCTGCTCGACCGCGGCGACGGCGCCTAGGTCGCGCGCGGCAGAAAGGGCGCGTCGCAGGAAGGGCCTTCTCTGCGAAGCGCGGAGCACATGCGTGAACGCCCCCGCCGAGCTCAAGAAGCCGCGCCTCGAGTCGCCGATCTGGTTCGAAGAGCCCGCCTTGGAGCCCCTCAAAGCCTTCTGGAAATCTTGGAACCCGCGTCGTCTGATCTCGCCTTTCAGCGCCCTCATTTCTTGCAAGTTGATGCGGCTGTGCTTTACGGACCTCCCTCCCCGCTCGACCTTCCAGTTGACGCTGGCGAAAGCCTCGTTCACGTCGTCGACGGGGCGGCGCATCCTAGTGGGGGCCAGCAACTGGTCCATCTCGTTCCAGTCGAGCCTCGCGCGTTCCCCTCTATGAGCCCCTATCCCGAAGAGCGCCCTGGAAACCTTCCCGGGGGCCTTCGCAGAGCATGACGCATAAGAGTCCTCGGTCGCGTCGCTCGCCGAGATCTGCGCCCACGGGCCACCGAACGTGGGCCGCCCCCATCGAGGGGAGGGCGGACGCGGCGAACAGACTCGAATACCGGCAGGAATCCCCACCAGATCTCGCTCACTCGTCAAGCTCTCGACGACGAGGGGAAGGGCGAACGTAATTCGACAGGAGCATTCGGGGCATCTCCTTTGAGATCCTTTTGCCCCCCAGAATGTCTAGAGTCAACGATGCTAGGGTCCGCCTCTTGAAAAGCGGGCTGCCGACCTCCCCCGGCCGGTCTCTCGCCCCGGCGCCCCAGGCGACAGAGCTGGGCTGCTCCACGACGTCCGAGCGGGGCAGCCCAGCAGCCTCCTAGGCACGCTTGGCCCGCTAGTGGATCTCGCCGTCCCAGAGCTTCTTGCCCCGCTCGCTGTCCGAGAACACCTCCACCGTCAAGTGGTCGTCGAGGTAGTTGAATTGCCCTCCCACGTTCTGCCCGCTGGCACGGTGAGCTGCGCATTCAGTGACTCGGACGGGGTCATGCACCCGCCCTTCCTGGGGATGCTCACGTTCGTCTCCTGACAGATGTCGCACGAGTTGGCGTCGCCCATGCCCCGGACGGCGAGCGCCACGCGGTAGTGGGCGTCGGGGTCTGCGGCCTGCCTCCCAAGCTGGCGGGCCAGCCGCGGTCGCCCCACCACGCTCCGCGCCCCCGTGCCCTGAGGCCTCTTCACCTGCTAGAAATAAGTCTTCAAGTCGCAGCCGGCGCCCCTGACGTGCTCGGGCGGCGAGTTCAGCCTCAACAGTTTCAACTGCTCGCCCGACGGTAGCTGCGGCCATGCCAGGCGCTCCTCAGTCGCATTATGAGGGCGTCGGTCTCGGATCAACCCCAGGCCTCACTGCGCTCGACCGCGAACCAACTGGAAGCCCAGGGGCGACCAATCTTGTCACGGGGCACCTCCGAGGCCGGGACGAGGGCCCCCATCCCGCGGGCGAGCAGGTTCTTGGCCAGGACCAGCTCGTTCTCCTTCCAGATGCGGCGGCACCGCCTCAGCAGAGGCGAGGGCCAAGCCTCTGGCGCCAGGCAGCGATCGATGTAGCTGACGTACTCGGCGAGCTGCTTGCCCGCGAGGTGGTCAGCCAGGTCGCAGCCGGGCCCCGGGCCCTTCAACTTCACGCGGTCGGGCTGAACCTCCAACGCGCGAGCCAGTGTGTCTGCGGACAGCTGCCCCACTTGCACGTCCCACCCGGGCTCGGCATTTGGGCGAGAACGTCGCTCGTGCGACTCGCCCGGGAAGGAATTCATTCCTGTGGCCAGCTCACGTAGCCTCGCCAATCCTCGCGTCGGCTGCGCACCGCGCCCAGCCCCGCGGCAGAACTCGAACGCATCCAGGTAGAGGCGTTCCGCCGCCACCCGCCGCGCAGGAGACCAGTGGAGGTCGGGGTAGGACGCCGCCGCCTTCGGGGAGCCGCGCTCCCAGTGAGAGGAGATGGAGACGAGCACGTTCGTGAGATGACGAGCCCGCTTAGCCAGCCGCAACTGCGTCCGACCGAGGGGGCCCACCTGCCCTGGCGCCGCGCGCACCGCCACGTCCACGAAGGGCAACGGCATGGGAAAGAGCCTCTCAGGATCTGCTGAGCTGGGCAACCCACTGCCCATGATAGATTCGCACTGTCGTGTTGCATTGCGGTGCCAATGCCAAAACCTCCCAAACAGCGCGCCCATGAGGAACTGGCCGCAGCGCCAGAATCCCCATCGCCCCAGGGGCGCGCTAGCACGAGAAGGGGGCGGCGCCT